TTGATGCTAATTTCAGTAGAGTTATTAATGCGATTTCAAGCCATGCAGATAACGATGCGAGATTTCAGAGCCTCTTCGATAAAGGGCAGGGGGGGTGGAGGGCAGGGACGGATCCAGGATTTTTCTTAGGAGGGGATGCACCACTAAGAAATGGCGTAACTGACTGGTGACGTAAACCTATTTTAATACAGAATACCAGTTGTATTAGAAAGCCGCAAGTCATCTCGGAGGGAGGGGGGAAGGTTTTCGGTGCGCACCCCCTGCACTCTCCCCCTTGATCCGCCCCTGAAGGGGCTGTATAGACTTACCTTTTAAAGATGCAATTGAGGAAACTACCAGCGGTAACCTTACACTCTGAAAGATGGTGATACATCATTCTAGTCTAACACTGATTAACACGCTTAGTTTCAAGTTTTGCTTTGTTGCCCTCGCTGTTACGTTGAAATGAAACGTTAGCGCAGTCTTTGCTCCAAAAAGGCCTAGATCATTTGCACAACGATAGCCAGGTGTCTGGTGACTTCGGCCGATGAGAATTTCCATAAGCGGTTTGTTTAAGCTACCATGACTAAGTTGAAAGTGATAGATTTGATAGATTTGAATATTTCTTTGCTAAATAGGAGTCAAGAAGGGAGTCATATGGCTTATAGGAAAGGGCTGAATTTCTCTGTAGTAAGGTGACTATTGACCCCTTCATTTAAGTTAAATTAAGCTTTGTGGACAGACTTTCCAGCTGGTGCGGTTTCCATAAATTCGGCTAATCTTCTTTCACTCTCTTATTTCTTACGAAATTTATTCTCCTTTGCACTCTTTTTTTATTGCCATATCAAAAATCTTAGTCTAGCTAATTCTAATTGGTTTTTTCATTTTCAAGAAATATGGAAAGTAACCATAAATATTTCGTGACAAAGCAAATTCAGTGGGCCTTGTGATGCTATGAGCTTCTCACGCAAACAACTAATCTAGTGACTGTACTGTCCGGGCGTCACGCGATGCAAAACAGAAGAATGAATGAGACGTTTGTTCCCTGGTCCTCGTCTTCGCCTCTAAAAGCACTGTAAATTTACAATAAAGTGTATTTTAAGCTTTTAAAACGCTGGTAGCTGCTAATCCAAGCCAACTCCAGCCTATAGGGACGGTATGTCTGTTGTAAGGTAGCCTGTATAACATACAGGCGTACGCTTTGAAGAATCGCGCAACGATTGATGTAAGCTGATTGACCAACCTATATCAATCACCAAAAAAGATCAAAAACTATTTAGCGAGAGGATATGATGAAATAATTAATTTAGCCCCCTACTTTTCACTTTTCCTTTTATTGGCCTGAAAATGCCTAGTTTTTAAACAGCATCGATATTTCTTTCATGTGGTATTAATTGTGTTTTGTCAACAATTCCGTCCTCGTTGATCTAAGATAACATGAGTCTAAAGAATGAGTGCGTCTTTGTTTAAGGAGGTACATTCCGCATTATTAACGTTTAAAAAAGTTTAGAAGCTACCTTTATCGAGAATGAAGACCTTTAACGATGTCATAGTCGATGTAGGTGAATACACTTCGAATATACTTCCCTTTTTGGTTCTTACCAAACTATGTTATGTGCAATGAGTTGTAATGGTCTTCGACTTTAATTTGCCGCCCTTGATCGAGTTTACTTGCTACGATGGCTACTTCAGTGAGAGGCCTTAACATATTGTAAAAAGGTATAAAGTAGTATTTTCTTCAAAGTTACCGAAAAACCTAGTTCTCTCCCCCAAAACAAGGTAATGAATAGATTCTAGATAGTTTACTCTCCCTCGCATCCTTTTTGGAAAGGATAAGAATCATAAATGTAACTCTTTGAGTAATGCAACACTCGGTTCCAAGTTGATTTCTTCTGCAAGTGAAATAATTTTGTTGCCTTGCATTTACAAGCACGTTTTTCTAGTAGAGGACAAAGAACAGAGGGGACAGCCAAACATATGGTGATATATAAAGTCTAGCGTGCTTAAGTCGCAACAGCATGCTTACATGTAACAGATTGAAATTACTTACGGGCTGAAGATGTCTCAATAAGAAGAAGTCCTAGAAGAAGCAAGCGAGTCCACGTGGTCTTCAACATTCTCAGTTCCCGTAAAAATGATGGAAATGATACTACTCTCGAACCATTTATAAGTCAAAAGTTGACCAAGATTGATGGTCGAGAGTCTATCGCGTAGCAGACACGGGAAGGTAGCTTCAAAGAGCCCTTTGTGAAATATGAGTAGGTGTCCTTTGCCTCGTAGACCGATTCCAATTCGCGCGCATATTGTGTAACACCACTCCCATTTGAGTTGCACCCGGAACTTCATGTTAATGTTAGCTTTGAATCCTTTTTTTGTACTTGTTAGGTAACTGTAGTGCGATCCAGCAGTGCATAAGACTCCCATCCAGNCTTCTGCAAGTGAAATAATTTTGTTGCCTTGCATTTACAAGCACGTTTTTCTAGTAGAGGACAAAGAACAGAGGGGACAGCCAAACATATGGTGATATATAAAGTCTAGCGTGCTTAAGTCGCAACAGCATGCTTACATGTAACAGATTGAAATTACTTACGGGCTGAAGATGTCTCAATAAGAAGAAGTCCTAGAAGAAGCAAGCGAGTCCACGTGGTCTTCAACATTCTCAGTTCCCGTAAAAATGATGGAAATGATACTACTCTCGAACCATTTATAAGTCAAAAGTTGACCAAGATTGATGGTCGAGAGTCTATCGCGTAGCAGACACGGGAAGGTAGCTTCAAAGAGCCCTTTGTGAAATATGAGTAGGTGTCCTTTGCCTCGTAGACCGATTCCAATTCGCGCGCATATTGTGTAACACCACTCCCATTTGAGTTGCACCCGGAACTTCATGTTAATGTTAGCTTTGAATCCTTTTTTTGTACTTGTTAGGTAACTGTAGTGCGATCCAGCAGTGCATAAGACTCCCATCCAGGCGACGCACTGACTTCACCGAGTAACGATGCTTAGGGACAGACTGTACCCCTCCCCCCCCCAACTTCTCTTCACTAAGGTTACTTCAGGATAATGCATAGACGGTCGAGTGACTGAAAATGAGAAGTTGATCCAGTCGTCTTGACGCTCGATCTCCTTTACGGGGAAAATCGCGAAAGGGATAACAAAAGACACTGAAGTTAAGTGAGGAATGCGTACAGGAATGTAACACACATCCCATTCAAGTAAAAGTTCAGAGGTCCTCAACCTGCGTAGCATGGCGGTTTTGTCGGGAGCACTAATGAGCGGCGAAGCCGCAAATACGCGCGCGGTTTCTCTGCCCTCACCCACCTTTACTACTTTGCGCGCCCAACCAAAACCGCCATGCTTTGCAGGCTAAGGGGCCCTCAACTACCGAGGCAAGTGCAAAGTGTCAGTTCCACACAACACAGGTGGGAGCTATTGCCTGGGAACCACACGTCAGTTTTAGCATAGACTGTGAGTAGTCACATATATTATTTTTCAATTTTAACCGCACGCGTAAACGAGCCCAATCAGTTAATATATTATTATTATTATTATTATTATTATTATTATTATTATTATTATTATTATTATTATCATTAATTTTTGTTGTTTTTGTAACGCCCAGATTAAGATGAGAACTCGACGGATTTTAAGAGAAAAGAAGGACTGCAAGCAGGTCTAGTTTTTCTTTTAACACGGCATGCACTGGGAAGTGGATCAGCAGTCACTGTTATTTTATTTCATTTTGTGTCTTGATAGCAGTAATTTACATCAAAAATAAAATATAGTAATTATTAGCTCAATATTAATTTGTTTTGTGGACGTACACTACAAATCCCCTTCGAAAATTCTTAGATGCACCCCCTTTTATTCTGTGAGAAAAAAATTCGCAAAAGAAGCGCACCTTCGGATAATTGTCATTTCGGTATCGGCCAATTTCGGCCGATGCCGATATCGAAGCTTATTTTACTGGTTTGTAGGCTAGGAACTGGGTTATTGTTCAATAGGTTTGGATTTGCTTTCGGGCCTTTTTAGAGACGGGCCTCTGGTGTTTTGGGTACATTTTATTAATTATATGTAATAAAATTCACCGCTAATTAAAGATGCCGTAAGCTGGGTGTCTGATACTTTTCCCCTAGATAATGTGAAATTGAAGAAACTTTGCCTTGACAGAACAACGCCTTTACCGGGGGGGTGATGGTAGTTTTAACACTATGGATGAGCTCTAATAGACTTTTCCCGTATTCCTCTCATGTGAGCAAACAAAAAGAAATGAGGACGAGGCTCGGGTGGACAATTTCATACAAATCACTATATTTTGTCCAGCCAAGCCTCGGGTTGGTGCCTTTGTTTACAGGAACACGGGGAAGGTCTATTCGTCCAATATTCAAAAAATAATGAGGGTAAGGGGTTAATAGATTTAACGGAGATCCAAGAAACTAGAGACATGCAATAGAGATAAGTAACTGTAACACTTTTTGAGTTTTTCTTCAGATCATTTCAAAATAAATAAACATCTGATCACATCAAAATAGAGAGAAGAAGACCTTTAAACGTAAGTAGGTTTTTCTTCTCTAATGCACAATGACAACTGAGTGTAGTGCTTATGAAGCAACTGTATTTCTTTTGTTAAAGCAAGGATAATTATCAAACAAAACATTTTGTGGTTCAAGTCGTCAACAAATGTAGTGCTGTGGTCGATTAGTTCAAATATGAATGTCGAATTTGTCCCTTAATAAGCGAAAACAAATTAACTTGCACAGAGTCCCGTTGACTGGAACCACACAATGGTTTTGCTCGATAGAACGATTTGTGTTTTTTTTTGTTCGAGACTTCTTTTACATGAAATAAATAAAACACGTTTGCCATGTAAGGGAATAAATTTGTATATTGCTATAGTATCTGTATATATTTAGGCAATGGCCGAGTAATACAGTGAATTCATGAATCCTTCAGACTGCGCATGCCTTATATCGGTCTTAAAATATACCTTAGCTTAAAATTGTGCTTATCTTTGCGTTACGTAACTAATATAAGAAACAGACGGGTCCTAATTCGATGATGAAGTCTTGCTTGAGGTCTGTAGCCCGGTCAGCGACATCGTAAGGAGCAGCATCGATCACTGGCAAAGCTTCCTTGACGGTTGTGTTAAATTCCAGGATAGTTTGATGCCACTGATTATCATGTACCTGCCAGTTAACAATAATGGCACAAAACGGAATTAGGTCAGTCAATCAAACCATACATCAATCGATCAATTAACCAATCAATTAATCAACCGAAAGAGCCAGTCATCAATCAATGAACCCTTTAACTCATTAGATTTTCAAACATGTGGTAAATTGAACTCATTTGATGAAGCTAACTTAAAGGCCTCTCTCAACAATTCGCTATTTACACATAGACCATAATGCATCTTGTTTATGCATAACCATTGTTTCCAATTCCTCCTGGATATTACAGTGGTCTCAAGAGAAATCGAAGACACTGGTTATGCAAAATTTTGGTGGGTAAACAAGGAGCATTATGGTCTATGTGAAAATGGTGAATACCATAAATACTCTTTGTTGTCCCTCAAAAATTGTTTTCGATTTCTCTTGGGGCAATTGTAAGTCCCAAGAGAAATTGAACACAGTGCTTATGCAAAATTTTGGAGGGACAACAAAGAGTATTATCACGGTATTTTTTTGAAAAAGGCCTTCTGAAATTCACTTCTTCATGGCGAAGCACCACCAACTCTTTTAAAACTAACCCCTTCATTATTTTTTTATCAGCTTTACAAGTTATTGTTGAAAGCAGAAAGAATTCAAGAAAGACAATTGTGTCTTTATGTAGGACATGTAAAAATAACGAAGGAATTAAAGTTTTATTTGAATGGACTACAGACTTGAAAGGCACTCCTTTTTAGAGGCCTTTAGCAATAGTTGGTCACCTGGACACGAAAACTTTTCGCTTATGTAAAATTTTGTTTTTGCCAAAAGCGACCTGTTTTAGTGTTTACGGAAAGTTGATCACGTGACCAACTATTGCAAAAGTCATATTGACCACTCCAGAAAATACCATAACATACCATAATGCTCTTGTTTGTCACCCCAAAATTTTGCATAAGCATTGTTTTCAGTTTCTCTTCGGGCCATTTTAACCCCCAAGAGAAACTGAAGACAAATTAAAATGCCTATGCAAAATTTCGGGTTGACAAATAAAGAGCATTATGGTATGTTATGGTATTTCTGGAGTGGTCAATTGACAAAAATTGACAGAGTGCATCTCGATGGAATCATGGGCAGCTTAACGGGACAGGAGAAAAACGGGCCAAATCATGTACGTTTACAAAACCTACAACGATTTCGTCGTGAATATGGTTTCCGCAAATAGAAGGAAGAAGTGTGACGGGGCCCACAATAGGTCATTTGCATGTGTACGATGACGTCATTTTACTTCTACGACCAGAATCCTTCAGGCTTTTGCTTTCTTCTGCAAATTAGGGCTTTTGTATTTTGAACTTCACTGGGATTACCAAATGGTCTATTGTGGGTTTGATCCTGTGGGTGGGTGGGTATGCAGGGAAATTTGTATCTCTGACGAAAGGAAAATACTTTTCTCGACGAAAATAAGTTAGTTATGCTGATGTTTTATTTACGTGTACGATGGCATTTACCTTGCATTCATTTGTAACAACAACTGGTCTAGTTTTCTCTGAACTTGTCAGCTCCATGTCGTTATCTCCCTGTAACTTAATGGTGAGACCGTCAAAATCTTCCCAGGCGCGAGAATTCAAGCAGTGATATGTGATATTTTGGCTCACGCTTCTACTTAAAAGTCGCAAAAATTGCATCTGTACTGAATTCATACCGTAATTTATCTGAAAAGCAAAAAAAATTGATTATTTGCAAATAAATAATATTAGGGGATAAATACGCAACACTGTATAAATAAATACCTCCAGATCACGTATTTTAAAATGTTAAAGGGAAATTAAATCTAATATCCGATTCAGTCAGGGTGTGATTTAGGCTATGCTCACGCTACGGTCAACTCTGTCCATAGCGGACAATGTTGGGACGTCGAGTTCGTGTCCTCATTAGCGACAGTTCGTAATAATGGGAGTTTATTGCAGTCAAACGTCTGTAATTTATTTTTGCCTGGGATTTAGCTGTTGTCCGTATTATCAGTCGGGGTGTCCGTTAGAGCACGTGTCCGCAAGGCGAGAGTTCACTGCATACCGGAAAGCTCTCGCGCCGGTATGAAAACTATACCGAAAACGGCTTCTGTTTACACATAAGAACGGTGATTTTGGCGCGATTTCTGTAACCGGCGACACTGCGTCGTGCCGATCTCGAAAGTGGAGCGTCACATATCGGATAGGTTCTGTGACACACTTTGGTACAGTAGCACCAGGTATCCGGACCGTATCGGAAGTGAATAATTAGGGCTGAGGACTGGAATCCACTGAGACAAAAGTTAATATTCAGGGAGAAGACTTGGAACCCGGGGGGTTACTTGGGTTAACTTTTGCTGGGTATGTGCCGCTGGCCTCTCAGAATCCCTACCCCCATTATAGTCTATTCTGTGGATATTTTAAAAACCCTGTCTTACTCACTTTGGGAAAATAAGTACTTTTCGCAATCCTAACCTAGTCACTTTCTGTTTATGCATCTAGCCTATAAAGCTTTTTAACTTGGTCATCCTGGATTGAACTGACACATTTGTTAAACTTAATGTGGTGTTAATCTTTCTATTTTTTATTCCCGACATACCTCAATTTTCTGACCCACAAAATCCTAAAAATGTGCGACCCCATTTTAGTAACTCTTTTTAAAGTGCAACCCCATAATAGTCAATCCAGTCGTGAAAATGCAACCCCATCCAGCGGCACATACCCATTAGCCTGCTACTAGGAAGTACCCTAAACCCTCGGGACTTGGAATTAGCTCATGAGACCCTCTTCTCGTGCCGGGATGGTTTGAACATAGCCTTACTTGCCATTAAGATGTCGTTAGACATAAGTGTACATCATGTACTAGTTATGCCACTCATCTTTATTAAACATTGATTAACTTACGAGTTGTGTATCAGTTCTTTCACCCATCCATTGAAATGGTTGTGCGTCCAGAAATTTAATCTGTGATGAAAGAAAACATGGACACGCATGAATTTCTACAATGAGCTAAATAGTCTGCATTGTAGGCTTCAAGCTTGAGTTATAAGCGTCTAAGTGGGATCTCCCTGTCTTTGATTTTGAAAGGAGAGAGGGATTAGAAAAGGCAAAAAAAAACCTTTGTTGGCCGTTTTCTAGAGTACGATTTGTCCCCCATTTTTCCTCAGGGATAGTAGAGGGTTCCTCTCTCCCCACTGCGTCCCGCCTTTCTCGCGTGGGATGATTTTCACGCGCGCTCGCGTTTCGCTCGCTCTACTATCCCTGAGGAAAACTGGGGGACTACTCGTAGTCTAGCCGTTTTCTGACGTTCAGGAGGATGGCTAGGAATGCCTAACATCGATTGCATTCGACTGGGTTCAAAAGTGCACCCAATCCATGAAAGTGCACCCAAACCTAATTGCGGGCGACATTAGCAGCCGGCAATCCTTATCTCCAGATTCCTATTACGCATGCTTGAGACGTATGAGGCCAGGAATGAATGGAATGCATAGAACGCAATCTGATCACGCGCTCTGACCTTCTGTCACGTGAAACTTACGCAAAGCGCCAGCATCAGAGTTATTAGAGCTAGAGCGTTTTGAGCTATGATCAAATGCGAAATTTGAACCGGGTGTAAGGCGTATTTCATGTAAATCATTGTAAATGGGCAATGTAAAATACTCCATTATCGTTAGCATCTTTGTGGAAAAGGTTTAACTTAGTGTGTGGACAACGTTTAACTGTAACACATTCTTGATAAAGGGTAGGTAAATGATAAGCAAAGTTGAAGTTAAATGATAACCTCTTTGTTATCTGGAAAAACACAAGTGGCTCCTCTTTCGAAATCGCAGTACACGTATTCTGCGTCGTTATAACAGCCTTCGTTTGGATCCACCCAGTACTTGCCTTGGGGAAAAGAGAAAAACAAGAAAAATTGATAATACAGTCGTAACAAACTCATCCCATAGGACCAAGAAATCGATAACGGATAAGGAGAGGGTCGAAAGTGGCAGAAGTATCCGGTTTATTCTCCTGGCTTGGATTTGGGGACCTAAAAAAACCGGTGTCGTCTTAACAATAAGAAATGAACCCTTTTCGGACATGACATTGTCCACGTAGTAAACGGTTGAGAAATGCGCGAGTGGAAATGGAGCGCGCAGTGGAGAAGGACACATGCCTGTCTTCCTTGATCTTTGGAAACTCATCCTTTATCTATGAATATCGGGTTGGTGTCCTCAGTTGCCTAGCAACAAAAGGTTGACAAACAAAACCGCATACCCAAAGTTTGAAAGCAGCAATGTACCATCAAGAACAAAAGAAAGCCTAGTGCTCGCCTTGTAAGTAAGGTTTCGAGAAGTTTTGAAGTTTTGGTTCTTTTCGTCAAGATATTGAACAGAAAAATGTATTGACTAGCACCGTTTTTCGGCAATAGACGGAATGACAGAAGCTTTGCGTAGTGAGTTAGCTGTTTCCAATCATGTAATAAGTCCCGTGAGCGAGTTCCGCCTAATTCATGCCTCTTCTTTTTCCTTTACTTTTTCCTTTTTTCTTGGCTGTCACCATTTATTTCCTTCTGTTGACCTCTTCCCCAGAGCTCCACAAGGTTTTGCCAGACACTTATTTCTAGTAATAAACAAACTCTGAGTTTTGCACTGCAAGTGAAACGAAGGACGCGCACGCCTCACTTACCACTCGGGTAATCAGGATGCTCAAGGTGAAGTTCTCTGCAAGATCTTGCGGGAGAATTTCTAGTACCGCTTTGTGATGTGTAGAAATAAATAACATTACGAAGGGCCGTCAAATAATTTAATGTCTCGTCAGGCTCTCCCTCTTCTTTCTGTAGGAAAAGATTAATTACTTTACCATTTATTCAAATATTGAAGAAGAGTTAAAAACTAAGGTGGCTGCCATTATTACAGTTACTTATTAAGCGGCTTCTTATTTATTAATAATTTAAAAAAAAAAAAGAAGATTGTCATAAACAAAGAATGTTAAGCCTAGTAGCATATGTTCTTATTCACCTTAATAAATGATATAAAACTCTGTGAAAAACTCTACAAATCCCTCCTGAAGAGCAATTAGTAGAAAAGGAAGAGAGATAAACAAGGACTTTTAAAAAAGAAAATCTTTTCGATCCTGGTGAGGATGACCTCACGACATCTGGATTAGATGTCATTAGAATCTACCGGCGCCCTAACTGCGTGGCACTGGAGAGATATTGTAATTGAATTAATTTACTCCTGATTACTCCATTCTTCAATCTCGCTCTATTATCAAAGCCCCAAAAATATAGAGTTCTCGCCCACCCAAAAAATAATTACGGGTAATTATGTCAATGCGTGAGAGGATCGTAAATAGAAATTACCTCTTTTGACGAGTAGAGTCTGAATCCTGGACCTTTGTTTTGGCTTCCATAAATCTAAAGATACATTACGTTTACTTAATACTGTATCAACATTACAGGGAGTGGGATTATAGTATATAGATAAAGTAAACTCAAGTTATGCACGCAGGAGGTTGATAAGCGCAAAATAGGTGCAATAACTATTGTACCCACAGAATGTATATCATTAACTGCGTATGGAAAGTCAAAATCGGAATAAAAAACCTCGTCGATATCGTCTTTTTAAGTTAATATTTATTTGATTGTTGGATGAGCATGCGCTTTTGCTCTGTTATTTTATAAAACGCTATAAGGCGCAGAATTGATTAACAAGCAGCTAACTGACTCTGGCCGGTTCACTGAAAAGGGCCAGAAGCACCAACACGGGGATCGAAATGGATTATTTATCCTTTATATTTAGTCATAGTTTAGGGAGGGGGCTCATTCAATAAGCCCCAAGTTTTCTATTTGAGCTTCCTCGCCAGAAAAATACTTTTAATACTCTTACGTATAATTTACGTCTCCTTAATCTTTAAATGACATTTTTGTAACATATTGAATCTCTGTATGTAAATGTAATTTTTCCGGCAAACAAATAAACTGAAACTGAAACTGAGCACATTCGACGCTACATAAAGCATCTTACATAGATAACAATGAAAAAGACAATAGTAGCTACGTACCCAGTCAGGATTTGTTATTTTGAGACGACCCGGTGGTCCCTGCATGTTACAGGAGGAAGTCAGAAGTCAGTACAAATAAAAATATCGCTCAGCAATCGAACACTTTCTTTGGCTATAAAACACTTATTATGAAAGGAATATCGTGTGACTTAGCCTACATACAAAAGCAATAAAATAAAAGATGGAATACAAACCATACTAATCAAAGAACATACCTGCTCTCCAGGTGGTCCTGGTGGCCCAGGGGGTCCCTGAAAGCAAACACGTGTAGTGCAAGGAGACATGAACAATAAAGCAGATCTCGTCGAAAAAAATAACAGTTATTAACAAGTAAAACGGTATTTTAAGAGCTGCAGTGTTTGTGGCTATGTTCGTTTGATCATTCTACGGAAAAAGAATGCACAGAAAAACTGTTTAAAGTCTCCTTAGCCAAGATTTTAGAGGCGATGAAACCTTATGAACATTTGAAAGTTGTGTCCCAGTAGACTGTTTAGGACCCCCTATTCTTCCGTGAGATCATCGAGAGTTACAGGTGGCCATCTTGGCTCAAAGGTACCGAGGGGGCGGGCGTCGGAAATAAAAGTGTTGGAGGGGGGAAGGCACAAACCCTCCTCCACCCCTTAAGTAGATTTAACTGATACTCATCCCCACGCGGGACTCGGTACATTTGGAACCAAGATGGCCGACCCTACGAGTTCGTGCTCGATCTCGACCATCGTACGGAAAAATAGGGAACTGTGAACAGTCCAACAAACACTCAAACTAAGTTATTTTTCCTCGTGCGATACGAAAGAAAATCTGATTCTGAAGTGGCTGGCCTATCTAACTTGAAGCTTCGTTTCGTCATGTTCCACATAATATATTTGTTTTGTTATTATTTTCTATTAATAATACTCCACCGTGTCAGTGTAATTTATTGAGAATTTTACTGGGTACTCTTCGGGATCGACAACCTCGTTCGTTCATCTGTTGATGTCTTTTACGTTTAAATACTTTCTTTAAAAATCGTAAACGTCCTAAACGTTTAGTTTTCGTTCTCCATATAAGTTATTTAAAAAAATGATGACAGTTCAAACAAACAAATCAACCTACTGTACGTCCATCTGCCCCCTGCAGAAAAAAAGAAACTTTCAGTTCTTCCGGCAAATTATTGGTTGAAATGAAAACAAAAGCAAATGAGAACATAAATAAGAAACCAGTTACTAACAAAGATTATAAAATAACCCTAAAAGAAAAGTAGAAAACATTACCCTACTTCCTCTCTCTCCCTTGCAAAGAAAACAGAAAACCATGATCAATATTATATTAGCAAATAATTACTGAAATTATATAGCGTTACTTGATTTACCAATTTAAACATTTCACTACAGATATAAAACAGCATTAACACGGCGAAGGAGCATATTGAAATTACCGCCTGCGAAGACAATAAAGGCTTCAAAATCCGTTTACACAAGAAAGTATAAAGTAGTATTATCGGCTAAGAATATCCACTAGGATAGGAAGCTGATTAAATAAATGGGCAGGAGAGGCAAAACAAAAAGGAAAGTGAACTTAGTCTAAAAAGTAATGCTCTTTTATACTCTCTTGGTTTATTATATAAACAAATGCTTTAAGAGAAAATATAGCAAAGATAAGGTATAAAACCAGCAACAGATAGAAATAGCCTCCTACGTGTTACACATCGTTCACAACACTTCCGAAAATTGAAAAAATATATATATATATATATATATATATATTTTTTTTTACTTGTATTCTGGGTAGAAAGTATTACGTAGAGCGCTCAATTCATTTAATTGAGGAGCATTGACTACAAATAATCAAAGGAGTTCAGGCTTCAGGAGTAATCATTGATCGTTTATTGCGACAGTGCTGTTTCGTATGGTCCGAAATTGTAGGACCACACTCAAGGAACGTTACAGAAACCATCAGTCCTCCTTTCGACGCTCGAACAGAAGAAATGAAACGGAACTCTCAAAATATATTTGGAGTTTACTGGACTCTAACAAACCTTTCCAGATAAAATGGAAAGATTTAAAGAAATGTAAAGCCTATAGCAACATTGGCAAAAAATGTAATCTTTGTCTTAATGAAAAGTTCATCATCATTTGTAAAAAAAGAGCTTTGTAGCCTAAACAGGCGAAACGAAATAGCGAGTTCATGCCTCCACAGAAACAGATATGTACTTCAGAACTCTAGAGTAACGTAACTAAGACACAATCCATCTGTTACCTAGATACTATCTCTTAACGCTTCCCTATATTTTACTGCCAGCTTTTAATTTTAACGGTCAATCGTTGAAGTTGCCTGATGAGTGTGGTCCACTTTTGACGAGTAGAGTCTGAATCCTGGACCTTTGTTTTGGCTTCCATAAATCTAAAGATACATTACGTTTACTTAATACTGTATCAACATTACAGGGAGTGGGATTATAGTATATAGATAAAGTAAACTCAAGTTATGCACGCAGGAGGTTGATAAGCGCAAAATAGGTGCAATAACTATTGTACCCACAGAATGTATATCATTAACTGCGTATGGAAAGTCAAAATCGGAATAAAAAACCTCGTCGATATCGTCTTTTTAAGTTAATATTTATTTGATTGTTGGATGAGCATGCGCTTTTGCTCTGTTATTTTATAAAACGCTATAAGGCGCAGAATTGATTAACAAGCAGCTAACTGACTCTGGCCGGTTCACTGAAAAGGGCCAGAAGCACCAACACGGGGATCGAAATGGATTATTTATCCTTTATATTTAGTCATAGTTTAGGGAGGGGGCTCATTCAATAAGCCCCAAGTTTTCTATTTGAGCTTCCTCGCCAGAAAAATACTTTTAATACTCTTACGTATAATTTACGTCTCCTTAATCTTTAAATGACATTTTTGTAATATATTGAATCTCTGTATGTAAATGTAATTTTTCCGGCAAACAAATAAACTGAAACTGAAACTGAGCACATTCGACGCTACATAAAGCATCTTACATAGATAACAATGAAAAAGACAATAGTAGCTACGTACCCAGTCAGGATTTGTTATTTTGAGACGACCCGGTGGTCCCTGCATGTTACAGGAGGAAGTCAGAAGTCAGTACAAATAAAAATATCGCTCAGCAATCGAACACTTTCTTTGGCTATAAAACACTTATTATGAAAGGAATATCGTGTGACTTAGCCTACATACAAAAGCAATAAAATAAAAGATGGAATACAAACCATACTAATCAAAGAACATACCTGCTCTCCAGGTGGTCCTGGTGGCCCAGGGGGTCCCTGAAAGCAAACACGTGTAGTGCAAGGAGACATGAACAATAAAGCAGATCTCGTCGAAAAAAATAACAGTTATTAACAAGTAAAACGGTATTTTAAGAGCTGCAGTGTTTGTGGCTATGTTCGTTTGATCATTCTACGGAAAAAGAATGCACAGAAAAACTGTTTAAAGTCTCCTTAGCCAAGATTTTAGAGGCGATGAAACCTTATGAACATTTGAAAGTTGTGTCCCAGTAGACTGTTTAGGACCCCCTATTCTTCCGTGAGATCATCGAGAGTTACAGGTGGCCATCTTGGCTCAAAGGTACCGAGGGGGCGGGCGTCGGAAATAAAAGTGTTGGAGGGGGGAAGGCACAAACCCTCCTCCACCCCTTAAGTAGATTTAACTGATACTCATCCCCACGCGGGACTCGGTACATTTGGAACCAAGATGGCCGACCCTACGAGTTCGTGCTCGATCTCGACCATCGTACGGAAAAATAGGGAACTGTGAACAGTCCAGCAAAAACTCTCAAACTAAGTTATTTTTCCTCGTGCGATACGAAAGAAAATCTGATTCCGAAGTGGCTGGCCTATCTAACTTGAAGCTTCGTATCGTCATGTTCCACATAATATATTATTTTGTGCTCAATTTCTATTAATAATACTCTACCGTGTCAGTTTAATTTATTGAGAATTTTACTGGGCACACTTCAGGATCAACAACCTCGTTCGTTCATCTGTTGATGTCTTTTACGTTTAAATACTTTTTAAAAATCGTAAACGTCCTAAACGTTTAGTTTTCGTTCTCCATATAAGTTATTTAAAAAAATGATGACAGTTCAAACAAACAAATCAACCTACTGTACGTCCATCTGCCCCCTGCAGAAAAAAAGAAACTTTCAGTTCTATTGGCAAATTATTGGTTGGAATGAAAACAAAAGCAAATGAGAACATAAATAAGAAACCAATTACTAACAAAGGTTATAAAATGATCCTAAAAGAAAAGTAGAAAACATTACCCTACTTCCTCTCTCTCCCTTGCAAAGAAAACAGAAAACCATGATCAATATTCTATTAGCAAATAATTACCAAAATTATATAGCGTTACTGGATTTACCAATTTAAACATTTCACTACAGATATAAAACAGCATTAACACGGCGAAGAAGCATATTGAAATTACCGCCTGCGAAGACAATAAAGGCCTCAAAATCCGTTTACACAAGAAAGTATAAAGTAGTATTATCGGCTTAGAATATCCAGTAGGATAGGAAGCTGATTAAATAAATGGGCAGGAAAGGCAAAACAAAAAGGAAAGTGAACTTAGTCTAAAAAGTAATGCTCCTTTATACTCTCTTGGTTTATTATATAAACAAATGCGCATGCTTTAAGAGAAAATATAGCAAAGATAAGGTATAAAACCAGCAACAGATAGAAATAGCCTCCTAAGTGCTACACATCGTTCACAACACTTCCGAAAATTAAAAATATATATATATATTTTTTTTACTTGTATTCTGGGTAGAACGTATTACGTAGAGCGCTCAATTCATTTAATTGAGGAGTATTGACTACAAATAATCACAGGAGTTCAGGCTTCAGGAGTAATCATTGATCGTTTATTGCGACAGTGGTATGGTCCGAAATTGTAGGACCACACTCAAGGAACGTTACAGAAACCATCAGTCCTCCTTTCGACGCTCGAACAGAAGAAATGAAACGGAACTCTCAAAATATATTTGGACTTTACAGGACTCTAACAAACCTTTCCCGATAAAATGGAAAGTTTTAAAGAAATGTAAAGCCTATAGCAACATAAGCAAAAAAATGTAATCTTTGTCTTAATGAAAAGTTCATCATCATTTGTAAAAAAGAGCTTTGTAGCCTATAAACAGGCGAAACGAACTAGCGAGTTCATGCTTCCACAGAAACAGATATGTACTTCAGAACTCTAGAGTAATGTAACTAAGACACAATTCATCTGTTACCTAGATACTATCTCTTAACGCATCCCTATATTTTACTTCCAGCTTTTAATTTTAACGGTCAATCGTTGAAGTTGCCTGATGAGTGTGGTCCTACAATTTCGGACCATACAAAACAGCACTGTCGCAATAAACGATCAATGATTACTCCTGAAGCCTGAACTCCTGTGATTATGAATATATATATTTTTACATATTTCACGAAAAGCTAATTATGCTCTTACAGGAGCTCCTGGATCTCCTTGCGGTCCTCTGTTTCCCTGGAAAAATATAACCGAAAAATGGCTGTCAAAGTGGTTGTGCTGTCATCGTGTTGAATATATTACTTTGTATGATCTTCACATGTACATATTTCGTATTTGGCTTCATAAATCGTATAGCACAAGCATTTGTTGGTATTACCGATTACGTTTATGCGGTAAATCATTCATTGTAACTATTTAAATTATTCATTGTAACTATTTCGTTTCTTTGTCAGTTAGACGGGGTAAACCAAGGAAATGCGTGTGTGAATTATTTATCGAGGAGCTACGCTATGACTAAAAGCATAATAACTCGTTCAACGTTTACACATTTAGTCCTCTCGATGTATTCTGGGAATGAGGACTTCTGAGTTCAAAGGCTCCGTTTGTTCTTTACCGTCTCCCATGACAACCCATGATGTCCTCAGTGACATACGTACAGCAACCTACATGTATTATAAGCCAAATCCTTTTAAATGATTTGATGATAAGTTAAATAATCATCGTACTTACTAGCGTAAGACTTTTTAAAATTGGACAATCTGTGCTCTCAAAACAAATTCCTTCAAAAACATAACAGACGGGACTTACGATAATTTAATTTCTTTGAACTACCCCTGATTGCCCAATTTTAAAGGTATCGAATGCCAACTGATGCATAATATTTTTGAGATTCTGTCACACTTACCTCCCCTCCAGCATAACCTTGTGGTCCAGGAGGCCCTTGATGCCCTTCAACACCCTACAGTATTGACAAAATGTTAAATGGTCAACATTTTTCCACAGGCGAATTAGATACTGTTGAGGACTGTCCGTTTTACAAATATGGTGGAAATAAATCAAATGAATATTATAACAGCAACAACAACAACAATTATCTTTTTTTTGCCTTAATTCTAGTTAAATAAGAATAACAAAAAAATAATAAATAAACAAATAAAACAAAATCTCAAGCTAAAAGAAATAAAGCCGCCTATTGAAATCAACAATGCGCTGTTTACACTTTCTCATGTGATCTGCGCAATGCAGATTATGTTGGGTATACAACCGACATCTCCACCAACGCAGTGTTGAACATAACAATTCCGCTATCGGTAAACACCTTGCAGAAGCTCAAGAGCAATTAGGTAACCCCAAAGAGGGCCAATTTCGACTTCTGCGAAAGTGTCAAACGAAGTTTGAACGCCTAATTTATGAATGCTGTTTATAAAAAAGATCAAGCCAAGCTTGAAAACCCAGGCCGATTAAATTTGTGTAAAAGTCTTTATTTGAACTAACATTCTTGACACTTTATATTTTATTAGGTTTTAAAGAAGCACTGTTTATTTAATTAGTGTTTATACTCTGCAACAGACACTTCTTTTTTGCTCGATACTGACGTTAGTTGAACGTCGGAACTTCGTCATTTTTAACTTTTTAAACTGTTTTTAATATGAGAAACAAAGCTTACGCTAATATTGGGGACCAGTCAATTAACATGTAGAGAATAATTTTTTTCTTCTATGTACATGTTTGTAAAGTACTCTCTCTACATTTCAATCATATATATCTATATACGAAAGAGTATGAAAAAGGAGAGAAAGAATTTATGGGTCTGATTCAAGCGTCGAACTTCACATGTGACCAACCTAATGCTGATGAGGAAAGTCTATCAATCTCCGCGCTCAATAGCATGTGGTTCGTTCCATGTGAAGTTTGACCTTTCTTCCTGTCCTAAACCGGAAAAAATTCCAGGGTAAAAATGGGCTTACCTTGGGTCCTTTGGGTCCAGTATTTCCATCCTGGCCTTGTTCTCCCGTCATGCCCTAACACACATAAGACATCGATATTTAACAAGAACTTAGCCACTGCCTTATAAAGGCGCCTTCCTAGTCATTTTCACATTGGCCAATCACCTAGTAGATGTACATGAGGCTCTTCATTGTAAACAGTGCTGAGTAAGCAATAGCGCCGGAGCAGAGAAGAAAAGCATTTGTCTACTTGAACCCACACACTAATGAGAAGATATAAAGGTCTACTGANTCTCCGCGCTCAATAGCATGTGGTTCGTTCCATGTGAAGTTTGACCTTTCTTCCTGTCCTAAACCGGAAAAAATTCCAGGGTAAAAATGGGCTTACCTTGGGTCCTTTGGGTCCAGTATTTCCATCCTGGCCTTGTTCTCCCGTCATGCCCTAACACACATAAGACATCGATATTTAACAAGAACTTAGCCACTGCCTTATAAAGGCGCCTTCCTAGTCATTTTCACATTGGCCAATCACCTAGTAGATGTACATGAGGCTCTTCATTGTAAACAGTGCTGAGTAAGCAATAGCGCCGGAGCAGAGAAGAAAAGCATTTGTCTACTTGAACCCACACACTAATGAGAAGATATAAAGGTCTACTGATGCAAAGTGTAGTCTAAGTAAGTCTAATCGTCTATACATCAGACCCAAAGAGAGTACGAAAGAATTAGAACAAATATGATTCAATTCATATACTCCCATGGAAGAGCAACCATGAAAAGAAATGAATTATTTTCAATAAAAGTTGGCAGGCAATTTTTCTTACTGTCGCTCCATTTTTACCAGGCGGTCCCTGTACTCCTGTAAATCCAGTATCTCCCTGAAATTGACAAAGTATCACTAATAAAAGAGGATTTTCCCTCGAGAGAGCATATGAATACGAGGGCATGGAGCTAATTCCTGCAGCTTGCAAACTGAGAGGCATGATGATCTCTTTCGACCCATTTTCTACTCCCGCCCATTGCTCACCGTTCTACGCCAAAAGGGAAACAAATAAACTAAGAAAAAAAAATCCAATTTGTTTCGAAAAGAGTGTTTTCACCCTGACGTTTCAAACTCTAAATCAAATCAACAAGACTGTAATAAACATAAAAAAGAACCTGCAGTCCAGTTGGTCCTCTCTCGCCTTTATCACCAGCCATTCCTTTTGATCCCTGCAAGTTAAAGGCAGCAGAAAGACAAATAACTCCATTACGTTAATTCATAAAGTTAAGTCTTACTTGTTGTGGAAAACGCTCACCACTACACGATGGGGGCCAGAGACTTTCATATGCTGCGTCTTTCGCGGTTTCAGCCTTCGGTGGCAACATCTACTGCGCCAAGCGACTACCGGACGCGAGAAAAAACTCTGGTACCCAAGCTATAACCACTTTCGCAAATTAAACTAAAACTAAAACTTGAACTGTTTATCTAAACTTGATGAATTTTTAAAAAAGTCAACTAACGAAAACTAGGCAAATGGACTAAGAGATAAAAATATAAAAGAATGTTATGTGAAGGTACGATAAAATTCCGAAAAAATCCCAACTAGAGTCGAAGCTAATGATATTTTTGATAGCTGCAATTTGTAAACTTCTGATTTACTGAATCCAACAGGGGTGACTAAGATTTTTAGCAAATTATCACATAAATTCGTTTGAGCATTAACGACAACAACAACTAACTGAAGAGTAAGTTTTCTTGACCTTTATTCTTTATTTCCTACAAATTTTAGCATCGTTCTTTTATCACATACAAACACTGTATTAATTGTTTATCTCGATCAAACCTGTGGTCCTGTTTGTCCTCTCAATCCAGGAGCCCCATCTTTGCCGTCTCCCCCCTACGGGCAAAAAACAGCAACAAGGGAGCTTAAGTAACAACGACGGCGACAGCAACTAAAACGTCACTTAGCTTAAAAAGTGCATTTGCGCTGCTTCAAACATTATCGCGATTATTCCATTTCGTTTAATTCGTCAAATTTGGAAATTTTTTCTAGTGTTGAATTCTAAAAGATTGTATCGAAGAACAGGAAAAGAAAAAGAAGGTCGCCGTCTTTGAGTTCACGTCCACCACAAAACGAGAAATTGGGCATTTTCACGTCGTACGATGCAGTAACGGAAAAGAAATGTACAAAACAGCGTGATGCACGTGCAGAGTTGTTGTTTTGCCAATCTAAGGCCTAGGCCAAACTTCGAACTTTTCATGAGACAAACCAAATTCTAATTCGGATCGACCTAAATTAAGTTAAGGTCGCGGTCTGTTGGGTTAGACGTCCAACTTAGGACGCGTCGAGCCAATCAGCTGAATCAGACCAACAAGCTATTTTAGTCGAAGGAGGCTACCTACAGTAGTAACTTGTTGATCAAAATCATGTGAACATTTTATCAATGACTCTTGCAAGGTCTTTAAATTACGTTAAAAACAAAACATCAAAATTGTTTCTGATGTTTCTTACTGGCTCGCCTGGTATCCCAGTCTCTCCTTTCGTTCCTTGTTCACCATCTAATCCAATTAAACCTCGTTGTCCCTGTCTACCCATGGTTCCATTCACTCCATCGTCTCCCTAACACAGTACTATCGCAATTAGTTTCAATACAGAAATGGTGTACTTATGCAATGGTATGAATGAAGGTATACAATTTCAACTAGAAGGGAATTGAAAGAACTGAATTACTATTGAAAAAAAACTATTGATTTATTTTTGGGGTTTCTGTCTAAAAAACTCAAAAGTACATGCCAGGCCGTTTACCATCTGTTAATTATATCAATACTTTTAGTATAAAAACAATCCAAATCCGTGTATGGCTCTTAAAATTCCTGGGCCATAGAACATATTTGAAGACACAACCAGCCAATTTTAATAGGAAAAACATCTTTAAGCGGTGAACCTCTCCTTAACCTTGTTTTTCTCCTCTTCCCAAACAAAACAGACAAAGAAACGAAACGAGCAAAATGGTGCTGTGACTTTACCTTTTGTCCGGGCTCTCCGTTTGTTCCTGGTTCTCCGTCTTCTCCTGAAAATCCCTAATGTTGTGAAAAAAAAGTTGCAGAGATAATTTGCTTCCTGAATTATGTAACACATCAACCTTAAATTCACTTTGACTTGGTAGATTTGAATGCTCCCTTTTTTCTCAGTGAAAACAAAACAAAACAAACAAATTTCCCAGGAAATTAAACGAAATCACATTAAGATGAAGAGGGGGTCTGCAACTCATTCTATTCAAAACAATACGAGCAAATAATAGGCTACGACATTACAGCCCTTATTATATCCATTTTGAAATCACTGCATGTTCATCCTGCAACCTGATTGGCTATCAACAGCCGGTCAGTCTGATTTATTCACAAATCACACTATATTTTACTCTAGATCGCATCGTTCATATTCTAAATCGCATCATGAGATGTAAATAATACAAACCGGTTACAAGATCGATAAGATTTATGCAGTGACTGAATTCTCTGATTTCAAACTGGCCGTAATAAAGTGTTACTTGAACTTCGCGTCGTGTAATTTTAATCTGAAATCAAACTGATTTCAACTCGAACTCGTGCAAAATCACGCAATGCCATATGATTTCAGACTAAATGAGCTACCGGCACTCAGTTCAATTACCATTATTAAGCACAATTTAGCTTACAGGTTGTCCGTTTCGCCCTGGGAGCCCTTCTTTTCCTTCCTCTCCGGGAAAACCCTGCAAAAGTAAAAAAAGCCATATAAGGACAGGTATGAAGGACAACAATGGCAGCATAACGCGTGTCACTCAAAAATGTCTAAAAAATACACCAAATTTTCAATAAGTTTTCAGGTGCTCCAAAAGCACTAAAAAATGCCAGCACTTGTAAAGTCCCCAAAGGAATCGCTTGCCATAAGATATCTTGATATTATAGACCTTTCCTTAAAATTGGCATACCCATACAAAAAGTGGCATACGTGGTTGTGTAAAGACGGTAAAAAGTTGCATACGTATCACGAGAAAGCAAAGTATGTTGCCAGTTCTAACTGTACAGTAAACATGCACATACAAGTAAAAACCTATGATTTCGGGGTACAGACTGATCTGATCGAGTTCTTATTTACCGGGTTCTTAGTGAGAAATCAGCGTGAAATTAATGTTCTTATAAGTCCTTAAAATATGTGTCAAAATACTGTACATTATTAAGAACATTTCAACTTTCAGGCTAATGTTCTTATTCCAATTGTTCTTATATGTGGTTGTCTTACTGTATTGAATCATCTTTAACATACTCTAAATCCAGCTTCTCCTGGTGTCCCTGGGGTACCATCCGGTCCTTGATCTCCCTAGGATGCAAAAAAAAGACAAATATTTGTAAAGACCACAAAGAGCATGAAACATCGGTAATAAATATTTAAACCAAACATAGCTAAAAGAATTTTATCTTTAAACTACACAGTAAATCTCTTCATAGAGGCTAGTGGAAGTAGGTGCTCTTTCTAGGCACGATGCATAGGGTTTCTAGATATATAGATACAGGAAGGCCGCTGGTTTTTAGGCAATGAATAATAATAATGATATCATAGGTGACGAATGACTCCTTAATTTTGGGGCGAAATTTTAGCGTGAATTTGTAATTTCACATGTGAAATTGCAAAATTGCCATGGCAACCCTTCCTTACGTCTCAGTGTGAAGATGGCGACGAAGTTTTAAAATGCCGTGAATGAAGATGTCAGGGCACAAAAAGACGCTTTAGAAAACCTGAACACACAAGAGAACATCAAGAAGGATTCTAACAGGTATTTTGCCGAAAAAGTCTGAAATTCTGAACTTTATAAGCCAAATGTAAGGTCTAAACATTTAAGAGAGTGGAGTTCTCGATCGATACGATCCAGAATAAACATGTCAAAAATCCAAGATTGCTAACGTAATTCGTCACCCATGATATTAATAGGTAATGAAATGGTATACTCGTAAAATTAGGGAATAATTTCACTTGCGTTTTGTCCAAATCTTAATAATTTCCCGAGCCTTAAGGCGAGGATTTGGACAAAACGCGCGTGAAATTATTCCCTAATTTCACTCCTCACCATTTGATTACACATACTTATAATTATAATAATTTCTTAATTATGAATTCGGTTGATAGAATAGTTACTGGCACAGTACGATATCCGGATTCTGGAATCTGGGAAATTTTTGCTTGTGGAATCCGGAATCCCGCTAACGATTGCAAACCGAAATCCAAGATCCACTGACAAGGAATCCGAAGTCCAATACCTGAATCCTGAATCCAGAATCCAAGACTGTCTTGGATTCCCTTACACGTGGCAAGTCAGCTACGGAATAAGTGAGAGCAAAGGACGAGGTGGGGTCTGTAGGGGGGAGGGGGAGAAATTCTTACCAATTCTCCAGACATTCCTAGACTGCCAACTACTCCGACAAACCCGGGTATACCCTGTATGTTGATAAAGAACATTTTTTTAAATCAACAAAGGAAAAGAAAAAGGACTCATCATTAGAATTAATAAAAGCCAATATTAACCTTAGGGGAATATTGTCATAGCTATCCGTGCCTCAAAACGCCATCAAACGGTTACCGTGCATTCTTTGGATCGCCGAAAACGGTCTAGTTTCCCCTTCTCTATGGTCTGTCTCTTAGTTAGAATATAATTAAGATCTATCAAGCTTAATTAATATCTAGTTAAGAGTAGAAAAGAAAATAATGTGAATGTATCACATTTAACACCTAGTAATTTAATTTGGACGCCTCGAGCGCGTTAAAACTAAAAACTCCCATCGGTAAAATAACAGAGTTCTCAATGACTTAGCAGAAAATCGTTCTGCATACAACAAAATGATTATGTGCTATTTACATATTAAATCGTGCATAAGGACTCAGTTATCTTTTGGTGTTTCTGCAAAACTGCATACGCATGGTAAGTGTTTATGATTGAACATTAAATAACGTACACTGAAAATTAAATAGATCTGTTTCAGCCCTGCAGGCCAAAGTCCTGTATTGGCCCTGGTTTAGGGAGCAAAATTGACTCGAAAATAGGACTGTATTTTACTCACCGAAATTAAATAGTCCCATTTTTAGGGCAAGCTGACTACTAAGCCTACTTATGGGACGAAAAGAAGAAATAAAGCCTCAAGGCGAGTTCACTACCTTTTTGCCTCTTCCTCCTTTCGGACCTGCACTTCCCATTGGTCCTGGTCGACCCTAAAATGGGACCAGAAAAAGGTTATGCTTATAAATGCAGCAAGACCTATTTAGGTAAAGTGACAATAGCTAGAAAAGAAGTAAGACAGCAAGAGATAGCTCTCTTCTACGAATGTGCAAGGGGAAAATATTGAATCACAATACGGAAAGAACGAGAAAAAAAGGTCGTGATGATAAATACATCAAGAGAGACCTATGTAAGTAAAGCTAACAGCTAGAAAAGAAGTCAGACAGCAAAAGGAAGCTCTCTTCTACAAAAAAAATAAGGGGGCAGATATGAATCGCATTGTGGTAGTTAATAACTTGTCGCCCAGCACTATCAAAATGCTAAGGCACTGCCTAAACTCTGTCAGTATTAATCGGCAGTTCATTGCCTGCTAATCTCGGAATCGCTGTACAAATTAACTAAGCAACTAAAATAAGCCAAACTAACTTAAATAACTAAGCAGAGATGTTTGTTTTACGCGAAAAAATATTCATACAATGTGTCCTTCTTGTCCTGGTCGACCATGTTCACCATTACGACCACTCGAGCCCTGAAAAAAATCAAAGCATATTATTTTTTATTTATGTTTATGGTAACAGATAAAAAACAATAAGGAAAAAAGGCATTTATTGAACCAAACACTAAATTTATTTACTGGAAGTCCTGGCGGTCCTGGCTTTCCTGGTTTTCCATGAGGTCCTTTTGCGCCCTAAAATTAAAACATTCACATGTAATAACTTACTCTACCACAGCAAGAGCCGCAATCAGCCTCCACTTTCACTAGATGTCGTAGCCGTGGTTTTTCTTTTTCTACTGTTAAATTATTTTCAATTATCTACCTTAAAAACAAACTGGTCAATTAACAGTGTCTCCGTGGCGCAATCGGTTAGCGCGTTCGGCTGTTACAACATAGTTGGTCACCGAAAGGTTGGTGGTTCAAGCCCACCCGGGGACGAATGTTTTATATTTCGCTCTTTTTCCCGTTAAAAACAATTGCTATGCAATGTTATTTACATGTAAATTCTTTCCAAGCATAAAATCAAAGCCTGAGACGAAAAAAAATTCTTTTTTGCCTTTAAATGTGTCTCGATTAGTGACAAAAAAATTAAATAAATAAGGAAAATATATGACACGAAATATAACAAAATAACATTTAAACAAAACCTTATATTCTGAAATCATCTCTTGTTACACCTAATTACAATAACGATGTTTTAGAAAAACGCTGGAAAGGAAAATGAAAAAAAGGAAAAAGCCAAATGGGAATTAATTAGGCTTGCTGATGAAGCACTCTAGGATGCATTCATTTGCAGTATAGATAGCATGTTCACAGTCCCTCCTCCAACGGGAAACGTCAGACAAATAGAGACGCTACGTGAAGTCTAATACCTGTACTTGATAACTTAATTAACTGTCTAGTTTCTTTTATGTTTTTTATGTCTTTTTTTTTTGTTTGTGTCAGGGCTCCATTTAAACTAGCATTGCTAAACTGGATACCCCTGGTTAAATATTGATTTAAACAAAAAAATTAAATTTTAACTGTACGTGTATGTTGCAAATGCGGGTGAAACCTATAGTGGTTCATTAGTAGGTATACTTAATCCCTATTTTACTAGCCTGCGACCAAGGTCCGCAGTGGGGGAAAAGGCAAAAAACAGGGTCGAATAGGAAAAATATAGGCAAGCGAAGCGAGCCCAGCGGTCTGGGAAGGGGGAAGAGGCCACCCTTTCCCCTTCCCACACTACCTCTCGGCTCGCTTCGCTCGCCGATTTTTTTCCTTTTTTCCCCAATGCGGAGCCTGGCCCCAGGATACTATTTTGCTTTTTACATTTTCCTTCTCGTTTTTCTTTTGCGTTTTCCTATCACAACGTCATTGCAATTAGGTGCATCTTTACTTGTAATTTTTTTTTTTGTCTAAAAGTTATTTTCCCCTTCTTCTCGGTTAAAATTTATCCTCTTGGTACAAACCTTTGAAGTAGGAATGATTCTACATTCTTTTTTAAAGCTTATCTTTATCTTTTAATTGAATAGAAATGAAAAGGAAATGATAAAGACAGCTCTTTCTATTTATTTTTAACCTGTAACTTGCGAATCTAAGTATTGACGTCTCCGTGGCGCAATCGGTTAGCGCGTTCGGCTGTTACCTCAACATTGGCAACCGAAAGGTTGGTGGTTCGAGCCCACCCGGGGACGAAAGTTTTACGTTCCTTTTTTTCGGTTCAAATTGTAACCAAACCGGAATTACTTTANGTACAAACCTTTGAAGTAGGAATGATTCTACATTCTTTTTTAAAGCTTATCTTTATCTTTTAATTGAATAGAAATGAAAAGGAAATGATAAAGACAGCTCTTTCTATTTATTTTTAACCTGTAACTTGCGAATCTAAGTATTGACGTCTCCGTGGCGCAATCGGTTAGCGCGTTCGGCTGTTACCTCAACATTGGCAACCGAAAGGTTGGTGGTTCGAGCCCACCCGGGGACGAAAGTTTTACGTTCCTTTTTTTCGGTTCAAATTGTAACCAAACCGGAATTACTTTATGATATTGAAGTGTAATGCTAAACAGCAAGTGACGACTTATATTTTGTTTTACCTTTTGAGTGGGTGTCAGTGAAAACAAAACATCGCGTTACCTCGAAGCTATCTCGCGGTTCTTTTATTCAGGAAAATTTAAAAAGAACGTATAGTTGTTTTTTCCAAATCATCCTCTTAATGCTCTTTGTCCGCATAAAGTCATGTTTATCAATAAACAATGGCAAATGGCTTAAACGGTAAACAAAATCTTAGATCCAAGAAAGGAACCTTCGACATCTTCGTGAAGCTCTACCGCACAATCGATACTGTTTTACTTCCTCCGCCGCGCCACATTGAAATGAGTCACGCTAAAAGGGTTCTGCCGTTTCATAATATAGTTTGACCACACTGCATGAGGGAAGGATGGTGTTATCCTCCTTTTAAGTACTCTTTCACAATCTAAATTTGCAGTCTCTGTACAAACCTTTGAGGCGGGAATTCCTGGTCTTCCTTCTATTCCTGGTTTACCTTCAGGGCCCTGAAAACGACATGATATCAAAAGAACTGAGTTTGCGGGCTCATTCTAGTGGCCGTTAGATAACATGTCTCCAATGGCATATATGTTGTAAAAACAAACAAGGCTCTTTCAAAGATGCGGAAAGAGTTTAGTATAAGACAAACAACGTCTGCTGGATTCGTAAATTATTGCACAAATGTATAACGCCACAAAAATAAAACAACAAGCAAGAAGTAATGAAGTAAAACGACCAAATTGTAATCTTACCGGTCTTCCGGGAGGCCCCGGCCTTCCTAGATTTCCGGGAGGACCTCTATTTCCCTAAAAAATTTTGAGATTAAACATAGCCTTGGAAATCATAGCAAACAAAATCGTCAGCAAGTACTTTTCAGTAGTTTTATTACCATGAACCCAGTTTAGGATCAGGCGATGGTTCTAGCTGAAATAGTCTCATCGCACACAGTCATACGAGTTTATTAACAGCTTGAGAGGACCAGCCACCACGCAAGGGCGAGCTCAAGCAACATTAGTACGAGAAAGTTCTGATTACTCACGGCCCAAAAATAAAAGGTTTAACCTGTCAGTTTCACTTACATAATCTGTCCTTAAAAAGATAGGGCCTTATTACAGAGCATGACAAACAGTGCCACGCTAAAGTACTGCTGGCATGAGTAATCTCACAAGATCTCTTTTTACTGGCCACGCCGGCCGCTAGATCGAGAGGTTTATACCAAATGCACACGATATCACAGCAATACAGAAAAGTATACTCTTTACAGTGAATATGAAAGTAAAATTTTGTTTGCAGGCCTCGACTGCTGTAATAACAGTCATTACATGATAAGGATGTGAAAAATCACGCAGTATTACCATCAAATGTTACAGAAAGTTGAGTCTATATTTAACTTACAGGGTCTCCTGGACTTCCCATTTCACCAGGTTCACCTGCACTACCAATGGAACCCTACAAGTTTAAAACCAGTGGCTTTCTCAGTTGGACAACAGGTACATCAGAAAAAGGTTTGTTTTCACTAGAGGTACTAATCATTTAGAAATGGTTGGAATAGAACTTATGGTTAGCGCCTCTCTTCAGAAAATGTTGGGTGTCATTTGAGGCGATGCTATTTTACACTCTTCTTTATAATTAGCTCTTTCCAGCTGATTTGGCTACACCTTGTAATGTATCCTTCTTCCACATGGTCATATTTAATCGTTAAATGTTTTAGCATGAGATTCCCAATCGGACGGTTTGGGTAAATTGTAAGCACTAATAAATGCAATCATAATAAATTAAAGTATTTTTCTACATCAAGTCGTTCTGTCAAACTAAAGAAGATAGAAGCTTGAGACATTAGGTAAAGGAAAAACGATAGAACGAAAATAAACTAGCAGGACAATGCAAAAATTTGCCTTTTTTATATCATTTAGAGTGACTTACCCTTGAATATTTGTGCTCTAAACAACGATAGAACGAAGAAAGAATAGCGGGACAATACAGAAATGTGCCTTTCTTTTCACAAATTAAGGTGATTTTCTTTAAAAAAGTAAATAAAGTTGCGATTCTTGACTTAAATAATTTAATAGCAGTACCAGTTCTCCCGTTGTTCCTTTAGGTCCAAGATCGCCTGGTCCACCCTTGGATCCCTGTAGGAAAAGCATGAAGCTAACTTTTCGGTTGACAAAAGAAAATGAATTGATGAAATGAATTCGAGATTCCGACTTAACATGTCTGAATATTAGGCTTCCTTTCTCGGCACACAAAGCAAAACATGGAAAAGGACTCACAGGAAGCACTGCAAAGCGAGGAAATCCCCAACTATGTGGGAAGTCCGATTGACGGTCTTTGGTTTTTTATTTGCCACAAAGAGTTCTTTTGTTGTTTTGAAATAATGCAAACCTTTCTATAATTTTGCGGGCGACAAGAGGAGCCTGCAATACTAACCTCCAGGTTGTTATTACGCATGCGTCGCACGTATGTAGCCAGCATTCGTTTGGACGTCCACTAAGAATGTTTTCGAATGGAATGCACGAAACGCATTTTGGATCTTCAATCACTCGTTATCTGATCACGCGTGTTTTGACCTTTTATCACGTGAAACTTACGCAAAGCACAGCGTTGGTGCAAAAGCGTTTTGACTTTCGATCTTTGTCGCCCGCACTCCGTAACCTTTGGTTATTACTAGACATAACTACTTTTGGAAATAAGTTAACGTAAACACACCTTGGATCCAGCTGCCCCTTTTAGACCACTGGGACCTCGCGGCCCAGTTGGACCCTAAACATAAAGTGAATGAGAGAACAGAAAGCAGTGTATTAATACATTTTCACTGCACAGGTTCAGTAAATTAAGTTGACATCAACACCATAAAGGCACATTACAGTTATAGTAGAGAAGGCCAGCATAATACATATCAGCAGTGAAAGTAAGCGCTGAAAAACGGTCAGTCAAAGAGCTAACAGAGTTCTGCGTAAGGCCAGAGAATGATGTTTAAGACACTGTTCTTTCTATCAAACATTTCTGGTAATCTTACACGATTCTAATCCTTTCGTTTTTTACAATATTCATTATCCCCTTTGTGGGAAGTATGGTCACCTTATAGTCAAGGCGCCGGACTCCGAATCGAGAGGCATGGATTTGAGTCCAAGCTGAGGTGATTATGCGGAGCCCGGTCCCAGGCTACTATTTTTGCTTTTTTCCTTTTGCATTTTCCTATGACAACGTCATTGCAATTAGGTGCATCTTAACTTGTAATTTTTTTTCTAAAAGTTATTTTCACCTTCTTCTCGGTTAAAATTTGCCCTCTTGGTACAAACCTTTGAAGTAGGAATGATTCTACATTCTTTTTTAAAGCTTATCTTTATCTTTTAATTGAATAGAAATGAAAAGGAAATGATAAAGACAGCTCTTTCTATTTATTTTTAACCTGTAAAAGAGAGTGGAGTTCTCGATCGATACGATCCAGAATAAACATGTCAAAAATCCAAGATTGCTAACGTAATTCGTCACCCATGATATTAATAGGTAATGAAATGGTATACTCGTAAAATTAGGGAATAATTTCACTTGCGTTTTGTCCAAATCTTAATAATTTCCCGAGCCTTAAGGCGAGGATTTGGACAAAACGCGCGTGAAATTATTCCCTAATTTCACTCCTCACCATTTGATTACACATACTTATAATTATAATAATTTCTTAATTATGAATTCGGTTGATAGAATAGTTACTGGCACAGTACGATATCCGGATTCTGGAATCTGGGAAATTTTTGCTTGTGGAATCCGGAATCCCGCTAACGATTGCAAACCGAAATCCAAGATCCACTGACAAGGAATCCGAAGTCCAATACCTGAATCCTGAATCCAGAATCCAAGACTGTCTTGGATTCCCTTACACGTGGCAAGTCAGCTACGGAATAAGTGAGAGCAAAGGACGAGGTGGGGTCTGTAGGGGGGAGGGGGAGAAATTCTTACCAATTCTCCAGACATTCCTAGACTGCCAACTACTCCGACAAACCCGGGTATACCCTGTATGTTGATAAAGAACATTTTTTTAAATCAACAAAGGAAAAGAAAAAGGACTCATCATTAGAATTAATAAAAGCCAATATTAACCTTAGGGGAATATTGTCATAGCTATCCGTGCCTCAAAACGCCATCAAACGGTTACCGTGCATTCTTTGGATCGCCGAAAACGGTCTAGTTTCCCCTTCTCTATGGTCTGTCTCTTAGTTAGAATATAATTAAGATCTATCAAGCTTAATTAATATCTAGTTAAGAGTAGAAAAGAAAATAATGTGAATGTATCACATTTAACACCTAGTAATTTAATTTGGACGCCTCGAGCGCGTTAAAACTAAAAACTCCCATCGGTAAAATAACAGAGTTCTCAATGACTTAGCAGAAAATCGTTCTGCATACAACAAAATGATTATGTGCTATTTACATATTAAATCGTGCATAAGGACTCAGTTATCTTTTGGTGTTTCTGCAAAACTGCATACGCATGGTAAGTGTTTATGATTGAACATTAAATAACGTACACTGAAAATTAAATAGATCTGTTTCAGCCCTGCAGGCCAAAGTCCTGTATTGGCCCTGGTTTAGGGAGCAAAATTGACTCGAAAATAGGACTGTATTTTACTCACCGAAATTAAATAGTCCCATTTTTAGGGCAAGCTGACTACTAAGCCTACTTATGGGACGAAAAGAAGAAATAAAGCCTCAAGGCGAGTTCACTACCTTTTTGCCTCTTCCTCCTTTCGGACCTGCACTTCCCATTGGTCCTGGTCGACCCTAAAATGGGACCAGAAAAAGGTTATGCTTATAAATGCAGCAAGACCTATTTAGGTAAAGTGACAATAGCTAGAAAAGAAGTAAGACAGCAAGAGATAGCTCTCTTCTACGAATGTGCAAGGGGAAAATATTGAATCACAATACGGAAAGAACGAGAAAAAAAGGTCGTGATGATAAATACATCAAGAGAGACCTATGTAAGTAAAGCTAACAGCTAGAAAAGAAGTCAGACAGCAAAAGGAAGCTCTCTTCTACAAAAAAAATAAGGGGGCAGATATGAATCGCATTGTGGTAGTTAATAACTTGTCGCCCAGCACTATCAAAATGCTAAGGCACTGCCTAAACTCTGTCAGTATTAATCGGCAGTTCATTGCCTGCTAATCTCGGAATCGCTGTACAAATTAACTAAGCAACTAAAATAAGCCAAACTAACTTAAATAACTAAGCAGAGATGTTTGTTTTACGCGAAAAAATATTCATACAATGTGTCCTTCTTGTCCTGGTCGACCATGTTCACCATTACGACCACTCGAGCCCTGAAAAAAATCAAAGCATATTATTTTTTATTTATGTTTATGGTAACAGATAAAAAACAATAAGGAAAAAAGGCATTTATTGAACCAAACACTAAATTTATTTACTGGAAGTCCTGGCGGTCCTGGCTTTCCTGGTTTTCCATGAGGTCCTTTTGCGCCCTAAAATTAAAACATTCACATGTAATAACTTACTCTACCACAGCAAGAGCCGCAATCAGCCTCCACTTTCACTAGATGTCGTAGCCGTGGTTTTTCTTTTTCTACTGTTAAATTATTTTCAATTATCTACCTTAAAAACAAACTGGTCAATTAACAGTGTCTCCGTGGCGCAATCGGTTAGCGCGTTCGGCTGTTACAACATAGTTGGTCACCGAAAGGTTGGTGGTTCAAGCCCACCCGGGGACGAATGTTTTATATTTCGCTCTTTTTCCCGTTAAAAACAATTGCTATGCAATGTTATTTACATGTAAATTCTTTCCAAGCATAAAATCAAAGCCTGAGACGAAAAAAAATTCTTTTTTGCCTTTAAATGTGTCTCGATTAGTGACAAAAAAATTAAATAAATAAGGAAAATATATGACACGAAATATAACAAAATAACATTTAAACAAAACCTTATATTCTGAAATCATCTCTTGTTACACCTAATTACAATAACGATGTTTTAGAAAAACGCTGGAAAGGAAAATGAAAAAAAGGAAAAAGCCAAATGGGAATTAATTAGGCTTGCTGATGAAGCACTCTAGGATGCATTCATTTGCAGTATAGATAGCATGTTCACAGTCCCTCCTCCAACGGGAAACGTCAGACAAATAGAGACGCTACGTGAAGTCTAATACCTGTACTTGATAACTTAATTAACTGTCTAGTTTCTTTTATGTTTTTTATGTCTTTTTTTTTTGTTTGTGTCAGGGCTCCATTTAAACTAGCATTGCTAAACTGGATACCCCTGGTTAAATATTGATTTAAACAAAAAAATTAAATTTTAACTGTACGTGTATGTTGCAAATGCGGGTGAAACCTATAGTGGTTCATTAGTAGGTATACTTAATCCCTATTTTACTAGCCTGCGACCAAGGTCCGCAGTGGGGGAAAAGGCAAAAAACAGGGTCGAATAGGAAAAATATAGGCAAGCGAAGCGAGCCCAGCGGTCTGGGAAGGGGGAAGAGGCCACCCTTTCCCCTTCCCACACTACCTCTCGGCTCGCTTCGCTCGCCGATTTTTTTCCTTTTTTCCCCAATGCGGAGCCTGGCCCCAGGATACTATTTTGCTTTTTACATTTTCCTTCTCGTTTTTCTTTTGCGTTTTCCTATCACAACGTCATTGCAATTAGGTGCATCTTTACTTGTAATTTTTTTTTTTGTCTAAAAGTTATTTTCCCCTTCTTCTCGGTTAAAATTTATCCTCTTGGTACAAACCTTTGAAGTAGGAATGATTCTACATTCTTTTTTAAAGCTTATCTTTATCTTTTAATTGAATAGAAATGAAAAGGAAATGATAAAGACAGCTCTTTCTATTTATTTTTAACCTGTAACTTGCGAATCTAAGTATTGACGTCTCCGTGGCGCAATCGGTTAGCGCGTTCGGCTGTTACCTCAACATTGGCAACCGAAAGGTTGGTGGTTCGAGCCCACCCGGGGACGAAAGTTTTACGTTCCTTTTTTTCGGTTCAAATTGTAACCAAACCGGAATTACTTTATGATATTGAAGTGTAATGCTAAACAGCAAGTGACGACTTATATTTTGTTTTACCTTTTGAGTGGGTGTCAGTGAAAACAAAACATCGCGTTACCTCGAAGCTATCTCGCGGTTCTTTTATTCAGGAAAAT